CCTCCTCCTCCTCCTCCTCCTCCTCCTCCTCCTCCTCTCAGTCTTATGTCACACAAACTCTGTGAGGTAGAGTAGGCTAAGAATCAGTGACTGACTCAAAGCCACCCAGTGCGCTTTGTGATTGAGTGGAGGCTAGAACCTGGAGCTCCTGAATCCCAGTTCAACACTAACCATTACACAGATTTGCTGGTGTGACTCTTTCAATTTTGTGGTAGAAATTCCACATTCACGCTGTTCATTTGGTTTTCTTAAGCAGGTATTAATAATCCTATCTTAATTTTCACTTTAGCTTATCTCTGTGTAATCCCAATACTCCTGTGGAATATCTAATTTTGTATACAGTTTTGCAAAACAGCCTCTGCCACATCCATTTCTGTAGGAGCTGGCTATCAATATAACTAGTTACATTGATTTTCATTGATTTTCGACTAGTGCATCAAGTAAAATGCAATTATATTTGAGGAAAAAGATTCAGTGTGAACTAGCATGCTTGCATTTGAGCATGTTTTAATATCAAGCCAGTAGGATTTAAATGCTAGTATGCTGTATAAAGTTGGGACTGCTGCCTCAGGCTGAGATTTTACCACTTAGGTTTGGAACAGAGCCACTGATATTAGGAGGGCAAACAGTTTGGTTAGAGAGATAATTTATGGTATGCATGCTTTACGAGAGACCTGAAGTTAGATCAACTTGGGTGTACCTTAATGCCACTGTTTAGTACAAAAAGGGTAGTGATAGGCTAACTTTACTCATTATTAAGGAAAGGCACTGCATTAACATTAGCCATGATGGGCACAAGAACAGGGAAATTAAGCAAGTCAAGCTGAATGTGGTCCAACAAAATATTTGTGCTGGACTTCTGTGTGTTGCTTTTTTGCAACATAAAATGGTGTGTCCATGCATTACCTACCATACCCTAGATTTTTCATCTTCTCTTAGTAGGTTTGATTGTTGGCAGGAGTTGTAATAAGGGAAAATGCTCGCCTTACATTATTTTAAGTTCTTATTTAAACAAAATTTATATTGGTACATCCCATATTTACCACCTGGGACTAGAAAAATGTATCATGTTCTTAGAATCATCCATTTGCCATGAGTTATATTGAAATATTCCTATATGGTTTATTTACAACAGACAGACATAATAGTCCTTGGAGCTATCAGGATGCACAGTGCATATCAGCTGTATTTGGGGCAAAGAATAGATATACTGAAATTCCAATATGACCAGCCAGTAGGCTAGAGGGAAAGCAAACAAACCTATTGTAATCTCTTATGCATGTCTACATGATATGGAGAACATAGATGGGAAGAAGTTTTCTCCCTCTCATAATACTAGAACCCAGAGTCATGTAATGTAGCTGTACCCCAACATACCAGTAGGTTGTTCCCCATCGCAGTGGACTTGCAGATACTACCACAGCAAACTGTGTCGAGAAGCTGCACACTGTTTTAATATCCTACAGTGCCTTGACATAGCATCATTTGGGGCATTATGATGGGCAAATAATGAGCAGTTTTTCAGACTTGTTACCATCAGAGAAGTCCATGGCCCAGGGAACTGCCAAGTAGGAAAGCCAAAATGGGCATCACTGTAAGTCAGTCCTACAATGGCACTTGAACCCTACAGATAACTGAGAATGCCGAGTACTGACACTGGTCCAGGGGAACAGCGCATAAAAACTATGAATTAACTGATGCTACCTTCCAACCTGCCAGCCTTCCAGAGTGCAGCAGAAGA